AAGAGTGTCTGTGGTTGACTGAGCAGAGCACCCACCCGACACATGTTCAGAGCATACACAAAAACCCCTTCATGGTTTAGAGGTTCAGGGTCTTACAACAATAGTGCATCACCCACAGACACAAACCCTGGCAGCTGAGTGCTGCTTGTTAAATGTACCTTGTTTCTGAAATAAACTTCGATGGGCAAGATGAAGCCTGCGTATCCAGATTCCTCCACTTTGTACGGTGGATCCTTGCACACTGAAAGAGAAAACTGCTGTTAGACTTCAGCACCAGGAGGCTGACAGTTCACAAAGCTTGCTTTAAATTCATGCAGTTACATGAAATGCAGAGCAGCGCTGAGTGTGCTGCAGCCATCTGGTTGGGTTGCTGGGAGACGGCCGCTCTGACAAACACAAAAAACCCAACCATTACATAAATCACATCCCCTCCACACCTGAACCAGGTGACAGGACTGTATTAAGACTGTTGCTTCATTTCTTGTGTCATTAAACACACTAATCCTGCAGCTGTGTTCTCATGAGACCTCATTAACTCAATTTCTGCAGCCTACTCTGATGCATCGATACAGATTATAGCAAACATGTGCACTTTGGTCCCGTCCATACACAACCACAGGTTTGTGGCTTTGTAAAGCTCAACTGTGCTGCTCTGTTATTTTTGGCAAACTCCAGGAAGACAGTCGCACTATGTTAACGTAGATGTAAAAGCTCCAGACAAGAAAACAACCAAAACCACTGCTGGTGTGGAGCAGCAGGGCCGTACATACACTGCCCCGTGAACGCCGTGTTTCCATGACTGCAGGCATGTTATGTGGATCTGACAGTCGTTCAAGTGCACAATTTAGTAACGGGACACATTTGAAACAACTGGTTTTGACTGAAATCCCTTACATTAAAGTGCTACAACAAAGTTCAACATCTGCAGCAACAATAGCTGCTACATTGTGTCATTGCTGAGGTGGTAACAGTAACAGGGAGGAGGAGTCATGAGCTACAAGCCTGTTAGAAATCTTACCTTTGAGTCTTCTGAACTTCTTTTGTGAGGATTTCGTTGCTGTGAAGGACAACAGAAGAACAGGGTGACAGTCTTGGTAAACAGAAAAATACAAACTGTATTCATTACTATTCATATCTCACATATGCAGGGTAAACTAGTTCAGCCATTGACTGTCCAGACTGACTGTAGCACGTCAGCCCACTGTGGGGCCAATCAGAGGCTCCAGACATGTCAAATAAAGTGAATCAATACTGAAGTGCAGTTTTAAAACCCTCAGATTTACTGAGGAACGTAAACTTATGTCATTGCTGTAAAGACTATACACATATACTGCACCACACATACTACATCCATGATATAAAGTGACAGCCCAGGATGGACCTGGTCTGTCACGCCCTCGTGCCTACCCCTCCAGCTTTCAGTAACTTCCTACGAAACTCCTCTGTTGGATTGTTGAAGGTGAGCTTCTCACAGCGGAGGTGATTGACGGGCGGGTGACCTTCCAGGTGGAGGAACAAGTCATAAT